TAACCGATTCTCTGCATATATAAAATACCAGATTTTCCAACAGCCATATTTCGCGGACTATATGTGTTGCATCGCCATATTCAACCCGACTTTCCCAAATCCTTCGTTCTGTTCCTGCCCAAAAGATAAAAGAAATCTCGGCTTAGAGGGATTCTTTTGAAAGAATTGAATTAATTGCGAGATTATAATAAATTTCAAATGTATTCTCCTCGTTTTCTTGCGAATTGAACATCTGGCGGAACATCTACGACATCGCTTTTTTTCGAAGTTGCTAAATCCTATTCACCGATTCGAGGAGCAACAGTCTCGTTCGTCATAAAGATAACGAGATCACATGATTACGATTGAAAATCATATTCTCAAAGACGAATTTTTTTATTTGTTTAAAAAAAAGATAACTATCCTAACACTGTTTTATATAAATTCATATTCTTTCTGAGAGAGAAAAAGTTTTTAAGAAGCGTTTACTCTGCAACTTTTTCCTTTTTCTGTCGCGAAATGTATCCGGGTAAGAAGTCATGCACAAATTTTCTCAGGTTTGCAATTTCTTAGCCAATGTTAGTGTCAGAGGATGAAAAGTTTGGGAATACTTGATGCGGCGCGCGACAGACGTGAGGTCCCGCATAAAGTGTCACATAAGCGCGCGCGTATGAGCGAATATTTTCCCGGCGATCTCGCTGCGCGCGTCGCGCTGAAAATTTCTGACCCGCTTCCGAATAGTTTGTTCTCACCTTTGATATGCAAATCGACGTCGTTGTTCACGACGTTACCGTACTGCTATGCCGCTGAATTTTAAGCGCGCCCAACCCGATGTCACGCAGCCTCCGTCGTGCTCTCTTCTTACCGGAAGTTCAGCGTCCTGCCGCGGTTCATTTAGAAAAGAAGCAGTGAGCTTACGTAGCCTCGACACCTCTATTGTAGGTTTATTCAGTCTGCATGTAGCAACATACCGCTCATTACGCAGTGCACCAGTGATTTAATCTTGTGCTTTACGGCTAGGCGCGATTTAATTCTCTATCGCAAGAGTTCTTTCGCGAGTTAAGTCAACGAGAAAGTTAAGATAACTTACTTATTCGAATAATAGTTACGTTGTGAACGAGAATTGGCAAAATAAATTATGGAGATTAATTATAGAAAAATGAAAGAATTTTGTTATTATTATTATTTTAATGCAAAATAGGTGTTTTTTTTACAAAATAACTTGCTATTCTTTTTTTAATTTTAATGATATTTTTAGTTTTTTTCTTTTTCCGATGGCTATTTTTATGCTTTTATATTTGTTTGAGAAGATGTGATAGATAAAAATATTCTCTCGGAGGCCACATGGTTGATTGGCTATTAAAGTTGTCTACAAACTGCGTCGTGGATATCTCATTCTTTCTATGAGAAAAAAAAGAATGAAAAAGATTCTCAGCAATCTCAACGAATGATTTCGTACAAAGGATATAATAGTGTCAGTGGTAGCAGAATGAGTCGGGTCGGACAAGACAACTCCCGCTCTAACGAACGAATTTATGTCGCTTTGTCGGGGATTTTGCTCAGTTCATTTGATTCGTTTGATTTCTCCGGGCGACGCTCGCTCGGGTCGAAAGTGGAGCGTACGTGTAAACGACGAGAAACTCAGAGGGGCTGTTTGAAGCGCATGGCGTCCTTTGCGCGTTACTCAAAGGGCTCTCATTCCCCGCGTTGGCATGCGGTGTCGCGTGCACTTTCCCGGATAGTTTCGGCAAGGCAAACAACAAAGGGCGGACGTCAAGAGGTACGCCGAAAAGCGACGCTTTATTTCCAGTCATGGCTGTCGCGATTAATCCGTCACTAATAGAGCCGAATTTGTATGCTTCGTTTTAGAGAATGGAAAACAGCATTGTAGGATTGTTCTCTTTGCATCGAACGATTCCCTTTTTTAAGGCAGGAGTTTACGTTATATACCTTTTCCTTTTTTTGATAGACTTTTTATTGTATTCGACAGAAATAAATTATTCTCATTTAAAGACAATTCCGAAATGTAATGGAATTGTGCTACATTCTTGTTATTAAATTCTACTTATTATTATATACAAAGTAAATTTTACTTATTCCACTAGAATTTGTATTTTTAATTTATTTGTAGTCAGATTATTTATATCTGCGAACATATACCAAGTTATTTTACAAAGAGCTTTCTTTGTAAACGAACACCAAGTGAGATAAAACTAATCAACAATTTTTATTTCTTGGTTTTATATGTATTTAGTTGTTTCAAAGATTTAGAACTTTTCTTAATTATTTGCAAAAAATTAACGGAGATTGAATAGAGGTTCACAGGAAATTAGACTCTATAATTAGGAAAGTGTTTTAATATTGAAACTCCTGCGGAAGTGTCAGAATTAACAATCAACACCGGAATCATTAACGCGTTAATTTCGATCGGTCATATGAATATGATAAATTTATGTTGGCGCAAATCGCATGCATAGCATGCAGCGCGCGGTCACGATATGTGGTAAAATGAATTATTCTAAGGGCGAACTTCCGCTAGTGTTATGTGATAAATAGAAATTATCCGCGCGAAACGCCCGACCGAGTGTCATCATCAGACTGCGCTGCATATCTAGGTTGAGAACGTTACTAGTTGCCGTTACTGCAGTTAGTTTAATCCCCTAATCTGCGCGCATTAATTATGATGCGTGCACACGGTTGCGACATGTAAGAGCAATTTCGCATTCTAGCGTGGCGAATACACGTTTAATACTCTCGTTTTGCGTACTTACCGCTAAGCGCGTAACAGCTTTTCGTACGCGCCATAATCCACACGGCTGAGTTTTTCCAAAGTTATTCTGCTATGTCAGCATCACTATACTTTTCTACACAGATTATAAAGAACATGCCTCACTGTCGTCGAATGAAATTTTAATGTTATGTTTTTAAATAAGTTTAAAATCAGTTCTATTTTTTTTATATATATATTTAGTTTAGTATTTGCAATTTATAGACTACAAATATATATTTGATTGATTGAAAAAGGTAGTCAAAATAAAATAAAATATTTTATTCGCAATAAAAAGGATATGCTGAATGGGAATAATAAATTAAATAAATAAACAGCAGTATGTATAATATAATATTTACGGTATTTTTATTTATATATGTACTTATTATTACTATTATTACATCATGTTGCACAGGAGGAAAATGTGAAACATAGAAAAAAGTTATTCGTTTTGAAAAAAATATAAGCTAATCTTTCATTACTATTATTTTTTGATGTGTGGGTTTTAGAAAGTTTATGGGATTAATTTCATAAAATTTATTTTAATATTTGTTTTAAAAAAAGTGTTGTTTATTTTGTAAACAGTGTCAGATTTGCTTGCAATTTCAAGTCATGCTCGCTTGTAATCAAAGTTTCGTATATAGCAGTTGGTTCTTTAGCAGACCGAGATTGCGAGAGGCTGAAATGTTCAACAATGAATTGTGCGTGTATATGTATATACGCATACGTAATTATTTTGCTGGAGAAAATCAAGTACATGTAGTTGAGTGATTCTAATTAAATGTAACTCAATTTAGTGAAAGAGGCCTGTTAATTTATACCTACGAAAATTGATGTCAAAATTATAATAGGTTCATGCAATTATAATAATCGTGCGAAACACAGTTTCATTTATTTATGATAAATGTAATATAAAAGCATGTTGTAAAAAACGTGTAAAATTATTTCCATATTACACTTAATTTTAAAGCAATACAAATTCTAATATAATAAAATAATGAATTTTACGTAATGAACAATTAAAAATTGAATGCTTTTATTATGTGAAGTTAACAAATTCATTCAATACGATAAGTAACAAAATTTCGTTCCTCGATTTGTCACAGAAAGACCATCATCTCGATTCAGATTCGAGTTAGCAATTTGTGTCACACGGAACATACTGGTTTTTTTTATGCGACAGGCGATATGCTTTTTCATTCCAAATGCCTCTCTAATTTCCTTTCCCCTCGCACTCGTCACCTGTGTTCTATTTACTTTCTCGCAAATGCATTGCGCCTGCAATGTCCATCGGGACATTCGGTCGGCGCGGTGCAATGTCTTTTAAAAAATTCATCATATATATCATCGGTGGATTGTCGCGGTTTTGCAAGACGTAGGTGGATGCGTATAAATATTCATCAAACTTTTCCGGTCTGATTGCTGCGCTACGTCGCGCCGCATTGTCGATACCTGTCGACTGCAAGCCGCTGCGATTCCGCGTGCAGCATCCGATCTTATGGTATTATCCAATGGGCGAACTTTGATCTTGGAGTAACTTTGAGTAACTTTGAGTATGTTGCAAGATGTAGAAGGTAGTTTATTTTCACTACCTAAGCGTAGTGATCTGTGCAAACATCGCGAACAAAATACAACTTTGAATTAATTAAAGTCAAAAGGCAAAAGCTTCAAAGTTGAAAAAGTTGCAATTTTTCCCCCCTATATTGAAGTGTTAATGTCAACTATTTTTCTTCAAGCAATTATAAAGAATTTCACTTACCTCGTTTTTTGGATAAACGACTGGTTAATGAGGCCAAAGGAATCCCAGCGCTTGGCATCGTTTCGGAAATATTGAGCGGCTAAAGGAAATTAATCGGGCGCCGTCATTATTTTGCGCGGATAGTCTGCAAGTGAGAGACTCCATGAGCCGAAGCCGGAGATCCTTAAATATCCCCAACGGGAAAAGTTCGGGAGCGCATCGGGGTCATGGCTATCGATCTTCGCGGACCATCTTCTCGCAGCCATTGCCATTAGCTCCGAATTACCGACCATCTCCGACGAAATAGACAAAGATTTATATTGTAATTTAAATTAGATTCCCGCATTACGATTATATACTGCGATTCTGAAAATAGTAAGATGGAATTGGAAATGAGCAGACAGTCTTCTGATTTACGCGCGGATTATTTCTTCGTCTTCGTCAAAATGTGACGAGACTTCTCCGATGCGACATCCCATCTAATCAGGCGTGGCGAGAATAAATCAAGCAGCGTTGTGTGGGTAATTTATTTACAAGAGTAAAACATTATGTACAAGAATGCGTTTCTTTCGCAAGAGAAACCGTGTGAAAACAAGATCGTGAGAAGGATGTGAATGAAGGGTGGGGAACACAGTTTTCCGGGCTAGTTGTGGATGGTGTGTAAATCATACGAGTTGTAAAGTCGCGTGGTTTTACATACATTTTCTCTACTATTACCTATACGCGTGTGTGTTTTGTGTGTACGTGTGGGAGTGTGTCTCCTCTGTGTTTTCCTTTAAGTTTTATTTAACACTTATGCCGTAAGTAGAAAGTACTTTGCTGCGCGGCGGTGGTCGGGTCCACCCCGCTTTATTACACCCGCTCTTCGGTTAAACTTGCTCGTGACACATTTATTTTACACTTAACACTTTCCTCACGAATTCTCTCTATAGTCGGGAAAGGGCGCCGGGGGCATACAGTCCTGTTTTGTCTGCTCGCTCTCCCTCTCCTCCCGAGCGACGACACTCGCTCTCAATTGTGTTTCTCTCTCTCCCTCCCTCTCTCCCTCTCTTTGCATCGACACTCACTGTGCATTGTCATTAATTCTTACGCTTGCATCGCTGCCATTCGCGGTGCGATTGTTCTAAAACCTCAGCGACGACGACGTGACTTTTAATCCTTCTCGCGCAAGGAACGATTCTTAATTATAAATTATAAGAATTCCGATCTCGTCGTTGCTAAGATTCTGGAATAATGTTAATAACGTGTCTTCGCCATTCGTGGATATGATAAGAATCTCTTCGACTGTTGTGTCGTGATCGTATTCAAATCATTACTCAACGCTTGCCGTATCGTTTCAGCAACAAATCGTACCAACGCTAAGTTGCAAAGTGTAAACTAACTTTTGAGCTAAATCAAAGGAACGTATATCGCGTCCTGCTAATTAAGTATTCGCAAATAGGGAATGTATATTCTTTATTTTATAATCTATATGTAGATGTTGAGTGTAAAAGAAGCTTACTAAGCGAAAATGTTGGATCACACCAATCGATTTTTTGTGCCATGAATATATTATGAATAAATCAGAATTAAATCCAACAATATTGTACGGTGATTGTTATTATTCCGAAATTTGATCGTTACGAACGCACATAAAAAGAAATAAATATTCTAAATATTTAATCGAAGAATTCCTGAAATATAATTAAAAAACGATGCTTGATGAAGCAGATGCGTCAATTAATAAAAATAAACAAAGTCAGCTTGTTATTTAGGGAAACGATCGTTAAACACGATGTTGTAATTAATAATTTCGAGCGCAAATTGATGTTGAAAATACTATTCGTGGCAGCACGCCAATTACTGGAAAACTCTTTCGAATTGGAAATGTCTCGGTTCGTTCGTTATCATTACGCAGCTATTTAACGTTTTACAGGTGCAGCGCACTGTCGCTACATTACAACAAATGTATGAAAAGTTTTCGGCTGCGAGTTTGTTCGTTCTTTTCAAGTTCTCGCGATTGGGACAAGTTGACTCTCGGAAGTTTGTCTTCACGCGGAATCAGTGGTTCCGGGCGGCCGTATGTATCGGTGATCGGCCGCCTCACCGCTCCGCTTAACCCTTAGGCACAAAGCTTCCCTTTTATTACGTAAAAACGACCCTCTCTTAATCACACTATCTTCGTATTTGTCATCTTAGCGGCCGAACTTATAGTTAAAATTGAGATAAACGAGACGAGAATTTACGCGACAGATTAAAAAGTACGAGATAAACGCTACAGCTTGAAGTGCGACATTGAAATAATAACAAATTTAATTGTTCGCTAAACGGAGCTGAGAAATTTGTGATTCGTGATTTTCATTTCATTGCATACAAATTAAACAATTTATTAAAAAATGTTTTTTTTTTTAATAATTATAATAGATTCAATAAAAAATAATGTCAATAATGGTCAACGATAATTATTGTAGCGATTATCTTATAAAAAATCTGTTAATCGAAAGAGATCGCGGCAGAAAAATATCAATCTTTAGATTTAATCGTGGCTAGGTTCGTGTAATTCCTCGAAATTATGTAACGCTTCGGCCGCTATAATGAAATTTGCCAGATCTAACCAGGGACGGTCTGTGCAGAAGGGTTAACGTTAAGGGCGTGCAATCACGTTGCGACACGTTCATCGATTTTACGAGTCTCGGGCGACCTTCGTGTACGCGCACATTATCTCAGCTGACCTAGAAGGAAGGCGAGCATCACCAGAACCGTCTTGGAGTTGGGCGAGCCGGCCGCCGTGTTGCCGTGCTGCATCGCGGCTGGATGTTCCCCTGAAACAGAAACGAGCACTTTCTTTTATTTTCCACGAATCTATGTCTGGAATGCAGTGCGGAGTATATGGCGCACAAGGAGGGTGCACAGTCGAGACGCGGGACTTGAATTCTGCGCAGCTATAGTTACGAGCGATACGATTTTTTGTCGAAATAAAAATGTCAATTGCAGAAATTTTACTCACAATATTGTTATAAATGAAAATTGCATAGTTTGGTGGTCGATTCGATCATTTTATAAACTGTTTTATTTTAAAAGTTAAGTTTATTTTATTTTACCTGGGCTTTTAAAACGTGCATTTTGGGATTTTAAAATATTTTGCAGTATTTAATCCCGTATTTTACGTATACATATTAGAACGTGAGATTTTATCGTAACAAATTTAATAATTTCAGTTTTTACAACGTTATGAAGCATTGTGAATTTCATGGCTCAATTGTAAAGTTGTGTTTTCTAAATTTTCTAAATTTTATTTGACTTCTCCGTTAAAAAAGTATGTATATTTTAGAGTTTTTTACATATTTATCAGTTCATCATTCTATCTGTTTGTGGCAAATTTAAAATATCTAGCTTTTACGCGAAACGTTACACGCGAAATTGTAAATTTCACCGTGTGGTAGTAAATGGTGTCATAATCTGCTTCTCGGCCATTTGCATGGCTAGATGCAGGGTCTCCGGGTATAAATTGTTAAAGAACCCTCTCCGAGGAACGGGACTGGTATTTCGTGGCGAAATAGTCCCAAGTTTGACGTAATTTTACATGTTGACGTCGGTGTCTCGACGGATTTGTAGAATTGAGGTCAGTGTGATATAGCAACAGTTACACAGGCTACAGGCGAAGTGGTAGCGTGTTTCTCATGTGTGCGCCGGGACATTCGCACCCTCGATTGATTTCTCGACGAATAGTCTTCCGGAACTGGAACGAGCGTCACGAGGACGATTTGCGCTGCTTTTCCCCTTCACTCGATAGAGCCGCATGTACGAGTGCTCTTTTCTTTCGTTATGCTTCCAGTGATGCCACTTTTGGGACGTAAGGTTCGATATTGCGTCTGACACACCTTGAGAGTAATCAAACATATACAGTCTGCTGGAAAAATTCATCTGGAATATTTGCGGAAATGTATCTGTTGTTCAAACAATTTCTTAGTCGTAGATCGTAATCGTAGATCTCTGTATTTTTTTTTTCATTTCGCGTCTTCTGATTTTTTTTCAGTTCATAACGAAATGCGAGAGAGAAAAGAGGTTGTCTGTAAACTCTCCTTGGAACTCGTTTGTGCGCAACTGCGATCGTGTTCAACAAATCGCAAAGCGCGGTCATTCGCAACGCGGCGTAGGAGTGCATAACTAATGCATCGCGCGAGAAACCAAATCAACCGGCATTAGCCTCCCTCGTTGCTGCCGTTCCGTGTCCGTGCGATTACTGTCGATTAATATGCATCATGCGAATTCACGAGCTGTTACGTGCATTTTTAAAATAATCGCTGGAGATCGCAGAGCATACGTTTCTATTAACCGCGTGTTCATTTGTCTCCCGCCGCACGATCCGATTCGTTATTTAGTTTTATACGAACGCTACAAATAACAATCGCATTTGCATTTCTCCCGTCCATAACGTACATGGTACTGCAGGCAATTTAATATTGATAATCGACCGATTATCTCGAGAACTATTTTGTCACAGCATTGTTAATACAACTTTTTTTCTTTCAACTATTATTTGCGGAAAGATTCTTCTTTTCCGTCTATTGTGTATAGATATACTATCTATATATCACGTTTAATTATGCGATACAAAATTTTATTTTTTCAAATAATAAAAACTTTAATTTTAACTCGAAAAACTATGTCGTATTAAAAGCTAAATGGTAGAAAAAATATACAGGAATATTTTTTGAAAAACAATATTTATCTCTTTTTGGTGGATAAATATTGTATAGAACGCGCATATGCACATTGATCATATAAATTTATTAGTATTCGTTAATGGAAAAAGGATTTTTATTTAGCATGTGCTATTCTATATGTATATATTGGGATTGCATTTATACTCTTGGTTTGAAATTAAGCTATCCAAAATGTAACAATAAATAAATTTAATAAAATACACAGATCATTTATGTGAAATCCAATAATTCGGGTTTTCTCCTCATAAATAAAACCTCAGATAAAAGAATCAAATTGTGAATCGTGCCGCAGAAAAAAAGTCAAGTGGAAAAATTGTTGGAATAAAAAGATAAGAAAGAAATTTTTGGCTAATAATATTCATAACCGTTCACAGATATTTTTGCGTTGTCCGTCCGATCGGACGAGAATGTGCGCATTTTACAGCTAGCTCGCTATATGAGACTTGTCGAAAACGCGGCATGGGACTGCGTGATTAACTGTGTAATTAATCGAGAATTGAAATTCGACGGAACTCGTCAGCGATTTCGCGCCGCGGTGGAACAATGGAGAGTTATTAATACATTCGTGTAACGCGCGCAGAGTAGAGCGGCAAAGACGAGTTCGGCCCGAGTGTGCTAGTGGTTGCGGAGAATGGGACAAAGTATAATTAGCCGAATGTGCGGGCTAAATGAATTTTGCATTGTCGCTTAGCGCGCGCTCGACGGAGAAAGCGAGCCGTGATTACTACAGACAAATAGGTATATGAGATTCGTCGATTCTGATGAATAATTCAGCGTGAAATTTCAAAGAACCGAAAAAAGTGGCCAAACGAAACAGATTTTTGTAGTCCTGCGCGTCGCCGAGAATTTTATTATCACAAAAATAACAATTTTTGCGTTTAAAGAAATATGACGTTAGAATATTTTTATGAAATATGACGAGGAAACATTTAACAAATAGCTCTTTCGTGTTAAACTTCTGTTTAGTGCGCTAGACAGTCTTTGAAGAATAGGATACTCGTTCATATATCTTGTCTCTCTCTCTCTCTCTCTCTCTTTCTCTCGTGGCGCACGCTCGCATAATTACATCTCTGTAAATGCGCCTTGGTGCATTTGGTACTAGACGACGCGCGATTTCGTGAAATTAATGTTCTTCTAACCGACGTCGGACGCCGGAGTCCCTCGTGAAAGAAATAAGTCGGCGAGTCGTACAAATCGCGGCGCGCAACTCGCTTTGCCTCTTCTTCCTGTTATGCATATCTGAATATTTATCTTTCCGGAGTAGCCGACTCGCGCATTCATCGAGCATGGAGAAGAGATGAATTCATGCACTTCGCCCGAGATAATTGCACTTCGGCCGGGGTCCGCAGCTCATTTGCACTGCCGGAAGAAATGCGCTTTTTTTTTTTCGACGATGAAAGACGGCACTTCATTCATTATTTGTATCAACTTCCGCTCGTCACTTTGCTTCGCCATTTCCGTTTGCGGAAACCCTTGGCGGCAAACTGTCCGTCTGAGCTTCCTAAAAACATTATGCCGTTGTCGGAACTAATGGAAAAGGGCGGGAGAGCTTAACGCGATGTATGATGAAATTATAGTAGCTAATTATTATTACATATTTTTTTTCAATTGATTCAAAGAGAAACATTATAATATAGTCGATATTTTACTTAAATATTAATCTGCATAAATTTTACGTCGTAAATCTCGAAATATATTAAAATTATAAAAGATAAATATATGTTAAATTTTATTCCATCGTAGAAAAATCTGCATTTTTAACAGCTTAATAGAAAAAGATTGACACGGATCAACGTTATGACGTAATACTTTACTTCGAATGAATCTATTCATTATTTTACTCTATTCTGAGGATTCTTAAATAAGCTAGATAAATAGATGAACTTGCATTCCCTTGAGGATTTGTTCATAAGTATTAGAATCACTCGCGATACCGCGAGGATGTTTCTGGAGACGATCTTATTCTCGATAAGATTTACGGATGGATTCGCGAGGGAAAGGACGACTTCCCTTTTGTAGCGTCTTATAGTTTCTAGCGGATTTCGAAAATTGGATCGCGAGCGTATAAAAAGCTTCTCTTTGTCCTCATAATAAGACAAGTCTAACGGTAGAAAGTATCTTCACTTTGTCAATCGAACAGAATAAAAGAATTATATATATTAATTTAATTAAATTTTTAATGCAATAAGATCGAACAAATGTTTTAATAAAATTTAATTTAATGTTGATGTTAAAAAGACAAGTAATATTTTATTAGAGTAATCGTATTATAAATACATATAAGATAATGTAAATAAAAAAATAATTTTTATTTATTACATACTGAAATTATAACAAATATACGTATATATATATATATCTCTCTCTCAATAAATATAATCCTTTTTAATATACAATATATGCCGCTGAATAAAACATTCGGTCGACAACGCTAAGAATTATTGTACTTAGCTCGCTTTTAATATCGCATTCTGTATTCGTAATTTCTGATCGTCTGGGGACATTATGCTTTGCATTCTTGAAATTTAATGATAACAATCAGCTTCTGTACGAATCTTTGTAATGACCGGAAGAAAACATCTCTTCTAGGAATTGCTTTAAAATATTAGTTATATCTTTTTATATACGTTGTTATTTTTAAAAAAATATTACATAAATATATCTTAATTTGTAGAACTCGGCAAACTGCTTCGTTGCTTTTATTACCAATTAGTTTTATCAATTCTGATAAATTGGTGTAAATAAAAATTGGAAAATTTTATTGAAAAAGTTCTTAGAAACTTTTTAATCAATAGATACTGGAAATATGTCCGACAGCATATTTTGGTTACCATTTCGCCGTTCGACCAGGAAATTAATCGAGTGACGATTTCGCAGCCGTCAAATTGGATTGACCGGGGCATCGAATTTCGAAAACTGCCGATTTCTGATCCGTTGGGGTGACGATTACAAAACGGCGGAATAACCGCAAAAGGGTAATGTGGCGTTGAAATTGGCTGCACCGAGGCGACCGCGCCGCGAAAATTACGGTGATAACAGGCACCCGGGCAGCAGTGCCGAAACAACCGGAAAGATCTCCGGCTGTCGAAACACCG